CTCATTGAATGGATTTGCAGGAAAACACCAAATGCATACCCTTCTCCCACCCAATAACCAAACAGCTGGTTGTCCAAATATTCAGAAAATATCACTGTCAAAAAGATAAAAAACATGCCAGTTTCTGTTTGACAGATTTCATTTAGAACACAGATGTTCACACAACTTACAGTGGTAACTACTATTGCTCCTACCGTAACAGCAAGAGAGTAAGTTGATTACTGATGACACGCGTGGTACGGAGCATGGTGAGATGACAAGAGGTAATGGACACAAGCTGGAACAGAGGGAATTCTGACCAGAACTTTTTCTCCATCAGAGTGGTCAAATACTGGAACAAGTTGCCTGAGGAGGCATCGTTGGAGCTCCTTGAAACTCTAGCAGGCAAGACTGAGCAATCCGATCAAGCAGACCTTATCTGAGCAGGGGGTGAACTCCATAGATCTCTTCTGACCTAAGTTACTCTACTATGCCAACATAGCAGCAGCTTTCATTCTTAATATAGACATAAGGCTAGATTGCAATTTTACTGAAAATTAATCTCAAAGTTTTACAGTCAGTGTAGTTTTTGTGTCCCCATCACGATTAATCCTGGTAATCATGAATTTCACATGTTTTCTGTTCAGCGCCACATCTATTATTCATTCTCCTTTGAACTTTGTGTACAGTACTGTACGTTGTGACAGACTTCAGGACTAAAGACAAAATGCTTTTTCTGAGGATCTTGTGACAAGGCCCCAACACCTTGACAGTCACTCAAAATTAGGACACAAATTGAATTAAAACTACAACACAAATTAAATGCCTCTTTTCTCCCTCCTGAATGAGCACTGCTAGACCTTTCCCCAAAGAGCTTTCTGAATTTTTTTACCATGCTGCCATTCGATCAGGTTTATAAACACATTAACCAACGTGGGAAGTCAGACATGAATGCAAGTCTGTCTGTCAATGATGCTGCCGAGAATCTTCACAACATTGATTTCTGATATCAGCTCTTACTTCCTGGTTGAAGACAAAACATAGGAATCGTTATTTTCAACCCAAACAAGCATGTGAAAGTAACGGACCTCCAGAGGTCACCTAATCCAATTCCCTGCTCAAAACAGATCTAATTACATCAGGTTACTCAGGGACATGTCCAGTTGGTTCCTGAATGTTTCCAAGGCTGAAGAGATTACAGCCTCGGTGGGTAACCTCTTCCAGTATTTGACCACTCTCACAGTAAAAATTCTTTTTCCTAATAAATAACCGGAAATTTTCCACGTTCCCGCTTGTGCCTGTTTTCCTCTTGCCCTACAACTATTCACCTCCAAGAAGAATCTGGCTTCACTTTCTCTGTGTCCTCCAATCACGCAGTCATAGGCTGCAGTAATATCTCCCCTCAGCCTTCTCTCCGTGAGGCTGAGCCGATCCTGTTCTGTCAGCCTGTCCCCCTGCGTCCTGTGCTCCAGCCCCTTCACCAGTCTGGTGGCCTCCACTGGAATCACGCCAGTATGTCAGTCTCTTCCTTCTACTGGTGGGCCCCAAACTAGACACAGTACTTGTGTGTCTAGTTTAAGACTACGTCTAAGTCACAGACGTAGTCTTACCAGTGCAAAATAGAGAGAAAGGAGCACTTCTGCTAGCTACGCTCTTCATAATACAGCCTAGGATGCGCCCACACTAGGATATGCAAGAAAGTGTTTAAATCCAACTTTGCAAGGAGTCTGTTCAGAAATGTAATGCCTTAAATTTTGTAAAACTTCTCTGTGATAGTTCACTATTTGGTTTTGAGATCTTGAACACCCACGCATCCATTTAAGATAACAATCCAAAGATACAGCAAAATGTTTCAACCTCTATAAAAGAGAATACGATAAAAGGGCAACGTGTTTCTCATATTAACAGCAAAATCAATAGGGAGAAGCTGACATGTTTCCCTGTGGAAAAACAAGCAAGTTAGAGTTTTCTGCAAAACAATAGCACTACTGCTAACAACCAAGATTATTACAAAACTATTGTTACGCTTTGAGAGTTGAAAATCTTTGGCATAAAGGTGAACTTTGAACGTTGGCTTGAGACCATCCGCCTGTTAAAAACAGACGATCTGGCTGTGTCCTACGGCACTGGGGGTCGTGAGAGAGAGGGAAGAGCCTGCCCAGCTCCCTAACCTGCCTGAAAACAGCCTGAGGCACGCAGCACGTTCCATAGTCCCTAGAAATGACAGGAAGATTAAGCTTTAGGATGGGGGGGGAAAGAACCGGAGGCCGTCCCTTCCGGCCTACGGCCTGTGTATTCCGGGCGGTGGGCCCCCCCTGCCAGCGCCCGCTGTCAGGTAGCCGCACGCAGGCTCGGGCAAAAATGCGCAGGCTCGTTTGGCTGTATTCCCCCTCAAAAAAAAGGCGGCAGGTCACTGGCTTGCAAACGGCGAGCTCGGCGAGGCTGGCACATTTTTAGCACAAAGCACGGCTCCTCTCCGCAGCCCTCAGC